TAGATTAGTTGATTCTGCAGTTCTTTTCCTCATCAGTCCAGACTCTCGAACTTTCTCCAAGTTTGTACAAGTGCAGGGCTCTTGCCATAGCTGTCTACTATTCTGATTATGGGCATCGACTGTGTAATATTAAAAATATATGAATTTTAATTTTACACTGTTTCTAGTTAGCATGGCTTACGCTTTGTGTCTATTTTTGCATTTTTCTGGTGGCTGATGTAAAAGGCTACATTAACACAGCAGCATGTTTACTGCGTCTTGTGTAAATAGGTTTTGTCTCGCACAGTGTGAAAGAAAATGCTGTTTTCTGTTAATTTAAAATGACTTAAAAGTGCAGTGAAAGCACTTAATTCTTCAAAAGTTGTGATTTAAATTATTGTAATCTCAGTATTAAGAAAAATAATCAGGATTATCATTTTAGACAATATTGGGCAGCATTATTAGTATTAGACCTAATCTGAAAAGATGGTCTCTAGTGTCTGTCCAGCGGTATTCCAGGTGTCTGGCCTCACAAAGGGCCACTGGGTGATCAGCTTTTTTTCCCCTACTTTTCTTCTTTCTTGAATGTTGTCTTTATGTGCTGCTCTGCTCACTCTGCTCTCTAATTTTGTCTCTCGCTCTCTTTGCCACCCCTCCTTTCCTCTCTACTTTGCCCCCACCACCTCCCATCCCCCTTTCACCCCCCCGATCCTGTCTTCCTTTTTCCTGACCAAACTGCCAGTCTTTTGCATGTCTGATGGCTTGCACGCGGCTCTTACAACGAGGACAAAGGTGAGAACGTCTACTCTCTCTTTCTCTGGCCACTCACAGGCTACTTCATTGGCTGGGTTTTGCTGCTGGTGATGTTAGCTTCTCAGTTCTTTCTCTCTCTCTCTTGCGCTCTATCTCTCTCTCTCTTACACTTTTTTTCACACTCTCACACTCTTTTTCCTTTTTTTTCCTTGAATTACCTAATTCTTATTTGCTCTTGGTTTTCTGTCTTGCATAATGATGCCGTCTAATCTCTTGTTGAGTTCCAAAAGGTGATTGATTTATTGTATTTATTTTGTTTTATTTGTTTTTATTTGTTGATTTGGATCCCCAAGTCTTAAGAAAATCTTGAATAGTCGCAAACTTGGCCTATTCAGTGAAACCTTTCCTAACTTAGACCAAGATATAGTCATATGCAGTGTGCATGTTTGGGCGGCCATGGTTCACATACCCTCTACAGAGAGCACACTTCTGCACACTTTAATGCACACTCACCGTTGATTCGTTGAATTTAATACATGGAAAAAAATGAAGCATAAAATGTGGCCTGTGCAAAAATTCTGGCACTTTCAGTGTCTTGTTTTTTCCAATATGTTAAACTTAGCAAAAAAATTGAAATTGTGCACTAAGTTTAGCAGAAAAATGCCATTTTGTTGAGGATGTGTTAACTTATTTTGACCTAAATCAAGAACGCATCATTTGATTCATTGGGTTTCTCAAACCTTGATATTGATTCTAAGTCATGTAAGAGTCTGTTCAGATTGAGTCATTGACCAGTATATGCTACTAAATTATGCTCAAAAAATTATACGTTAGATGTACTCCAGTTGGTCTGAAACGCAATCTGAGTCGATCTCGATTCTCTCTCCAACTGTCAACTCTGACTGACCCAAGAATCTGCAGACTAGAGCCAACTAGCACAAACTTAGCCTGATTGAGAATCAAATAAAATCAGGGTAAAAGTTGTGTAGTGTAACCCCGGCTTCAGCTGATTGGATGGCAGAATGACTCTCCACCGAGATGATCAGATAAGTGTAGTGATATCTGATACTGTGGACATTGTTGTCTGCGTACATTCACCCCTTCTAAATTTGGATGCTCTGGTCGTCCTCCATGGAGCCCCTTTCTTGAAAGCCCAGGCCCTGGCTCCAGGGCCTGCCAAGGATGTCCCTCCCACTACAAAGGACAAACGCAGCTCGGTGCCTTTGGGGACCACGGATTTCATTTCCCCTTGTTCTAAAAGAACGCTTTTGCTGCTGTCTGCATGGCATAGAGAGCAGTTAACAGATAGCCTTGTGGCCCTGGAGACGCTTCAGCATTGTCTGTCGCCGACGCAGGAAAAAGTGGATCGCAGACAGCAGGCTTATCCAGCACTCAAGAGACTAAAGGGTAGGGAGAGGCCTAAAAGTGAAGAGGACCTGAATTAGAACTTGAGATGACTTACTGGAAGAATCCTGGAGCAAGGGAATCTCCCGTTCAACAAAAGAGGAACTGTATATGCTACATTGACATTTATTTTGAGCTATATTGTTGTTTACATTTTCATCGTCAAGATCTTGGAATCTGCTGCACCTAAACTTGGGGCCAGATTCATGAAGTCTTTCTTAGGACAAACACTAAGAAGTTCATAAGGATTCTGAAATACAATTCTTGAAAAAAATAAAAACTCAAACATTCTGTTTAATATTTCTAAAGATTTTTCTTCTGTTTCTTTTCTCATTGTAGGCAATTGGTTATTTATCATGTTGTTTATTGATATCATGTTATACTTTAAAGCTGAACAATGTAAGATACTTTTTGATTCAAGTCAAAACTTGGACTAGATAGAAACGTTAAGGGATTAAGATCGTTTTTTGAGGAATAACAATTGGTAAAAGTATGAAGTTAACAAAGCAAACAAAAAAACACACATTTAAGAAGATTCTCTTTCTTTGTGAACCTGGGCCCTGAATTGTTCGTTACCCCTTTGCTTCATACCGAAGCTGCAGTAAGGGTTGAGGCATAGCCTGATTTAATTCCTAGAAAGTTTATACCAAATTAAATTTTAAAAATAAAGCAGTTTAAAGAGTGTTGAACAGGAAACCAGTCGGAATCCATCGCCTGCTTCCTCATATTTGGCGAGTTTGTTCACTGGTTAAAAAATCAGCGATAACTTCCATTTTTATCTCTGTTGACCTTATGTAAACTGAATCCTGGATGACTCACAGAGCAGGAAGCATTTGTGTTGTTCATGTAGACATGTTTAGCTGGGATACGTCCAGGGCTGGTATTTGTAAGGTAACTCAGAGCCATGGTGACTGTGACAGTCATTCATGTAGTCCTATTGTTTGACTTAGTAGCACAAACTAGGTGAGCAGAGGGCTGTTGCCAACAATGAGGCCACACCTTGCAGTTACAAAGATGCACAGTAGTTTTGTTCTTTACTGTTCCGTTTTAAACACAAAGGATTAGATATGATCAACTGTCTTTAATTTCATTTTCTGACCTGTTTACACTATGACTTGGTTTAAACTTGCTGTTCCACCTTGATGGAAGGTCAGTATTTATATATTGGTTCATTAATTTAGTTGAAAACGAAAGAATTTAGTTCCACATTTTACAGCACACCTATATCATTGTCAGTGAAAAAAAAACTGCTTCAGACGCCAAAGAGATTCAGAAAGTTTGACTGCACAACCTCTAAAGACCATCTTTTTTAAATGATTGCTTGTGTTGCAAAATCAAGTATTGTTTTCCAGTATATATATGCATTGCAAATGTAGCAGTAATTTGCTTTTGTAATGTTGGTGATGATTTAACATTTTTTTTTTTTTCTGCACCTTTCTTGAACTCGAGGCCAATTACCTACAGCGTGAATAAAGGCTGCCTCTTTTAGTGCCCCCTGTGCAAGTTTGTCAGTTGAATATATTGAAGCCATATTGGAGAGAACTAGAGATGCAAATTTTGGCAAATTCTTTTGACAAATAACCGTCTTTTAGTTGGCCATTAACCGACAAGCCTAAAATCAAGGACGCGACATCAACATAGCTGACCGAGCTATGTTTGAAACCATTGTGAAATTCTTATCATACACGTTTATGCGTCTAAACCACAGTTGTTTCCATATTAATGCACTAAGATAATGACAGTTCTTCCTTGTAATGACCATGGAGCCATATTAAACAAAATCCACATGTAAATAAAGACTCATGCCAAGTTAAGATCTGGTTGGCTGCCAAAAGAAACAATCTGGACAATAAGCTTTTAATTGTAGGGATTATGTTTTAGCAGGTAAGATTTCATTTCTCATTGATAGTAAGTCAAGCTGTTTTTCAATTCATTATAATTGCAGTAACAGTTGTTACTAACATTATTTAAAATTAAACATGGTATTTTTAATTACTATGGCAAGTCATTTTAGCTTTCATTCCCTATGTTTCTTAATCTCAGGAACTCAATTTAAAAAAGGATTAAAAGCTAAAGCTGCTTGCAATAAAATCAGTTTTCGAGTTTTGTTTAAAACACAGGGGCTGACAACCATAACATTTTCATGATTATGAAAATTGATGAAAAATGATCGGAATATGCAATTATGGTCTACAGAAACTTAAATATTTTAAACGTCTATAGTTTATATATATATATTTATCTCGCATAGCCAGCCTAAGTCAAAAGGAATATAGTTGACAATCATATCGCTTATGAATATTTACTTTTGATATGGTCAACGTTGTTTTATCTGTTGTCCTCAAAAAGTGCTCCTGAACACCACTGTTTTTAGCTGCACGCTTTATTAGATAGTAGGCCTGTCTATGGAACCAGCTGCCTAGCGCCCTCTTGAATACAGTATAAAAACGTTCCTCAACTTCTTTTAAAAATATATATGAATATTAATTTTTAGCATTGGTCAAACAATCATTTATTTGTTGGTTATCATCACTGTTATTGTCAACTTTTTTAGAATAATCGAGCCACTCCAACGACAACCCATATATTAACCATTCTACCAATTTTTGGGTTATCAGTTATTTTGTTTTCTATTTTTCTATTTTTATGTGCAACCATTTCTGTAAAAAGTCAAACTATGCTTTATTTTTGTTTTAATGACGCCTTTATTTTAAACACAGATAAACAATGCCATACCATGCTTACATGATTTTTACAATAAAAGTCACTCATCTAATTGTTCGTTGCAAAGACTCAGTTGTTGCACTACAATATATGTAGTTGTGTCCATATACATGCCTAATCAGTGCTGGTTTTCCCGGCAGGATGGAGATGAGACCTTCAATCGGGCCAAACTCCTGAACGTGGGTTACGCTGAGGCCCTAAAGGAGTATGACTATGAGTGCTTTGTCTTCAGTGATGTGGACCTCATTCCCATGGACGACCGCAACACCTACAAGTGTTTCAGCCAGCCCAGACACCTGTCTGTGTCCATGGACAAATTCGGCTTCAGGTACTAGATAATGCAGTCTTGCTTTCTTATGTAAGTAAAATGTAAAAAAAACAGAAAAGGTCATGTGGCAGGTGGTTTCTCAGGCAACAGTCTCTCTCTCTCTCCAGCCCTCCAGCGTGTACAGCTCGTTGCACATTCTCTAGAGATTGCATTTTAATTCAGTGGAAGTCAGCTGAGCCTCAGCAGCACCTGTATTTTTCCATGATGTTCACACTTATATCCCCGCCTCGGAGTCATAGCTGGTCGTCCAGAGCCTCTTTTACTTTGCACTGGAATGGCAGTTGTTTCTTTTTCTTTTCGCACACCAAGACTGCACTGCGTTAGAGAATGTTTGAGGAATGCAGTGCCCAAAATTAGTCTTGGGTCAGTTTATATCTTGCTTATTTATTACTTTCCAAGATAAAGTTATCATTTATTCATTTGTATCCTTCAAGAAAATTACAAACAACCAGCAGTAATGACCAGGGGCCATATTACAGAAACATCTTAAGTCTGAAATCTTCTCTGCTTAGTCACTATGACAACTTAAGGACGAAACGTAGGAGGAGTTATTACAGAATAACAGTTCTTAAGTTACTACTTTTATCCTTTAACTCCAGATAAGAAAACAGTATTACAGAAAAACAGAAAGTTCTGTCCCGAGACAACCCCAGAGACTTCTAACTTCTGTTTTCGTCATCTGTTTCTATGGTTTTATGCAGCGACAGGCAGCATAGTTCACTATAACTTTCATAATGGTGCTACATTTATCTACATTTAAAACTGTCGTTTGACTTCTGAGGGTTTTTTCCAGTAGCATTTTATAAACCTCAGACGCTGCAGACATGATCTCTCCCATCCCCTTTTATTGCCTTTTGTGTGTTAATGTTGCTGAAAACTCATCAGATGAAATAATACAGTTTATTGTGCTTTAGTTTGGTTTGACTCTTTCTTTTTTTTACATCAGTAACGATAGCTATCTGGCTAACTAGCTTACATGTTTCATTACATATTTCAGCTATGCGTGTATGGTCGGTTGCTAGGTAACAGACATGACAGTTGATTGTTGAAATCGATCAAGTCAGTTAAGATTTCTTGAGATAAGATGCTGTAAGATAAGATAATTTCCTAAATCAAGATAAGATTTGCTTCTGTAATACGATTTTGTAAAAAAAATCTTTTCTTGGCCTACAAATAGATAAGTTTTTCTCTTTTGGATGGCCAGAGCGTGGCAGGGGTTGAACACATCCTGCCTCTTTCTATGATTTCAGCACATTTTTCAATTTTAGAATTGTCAATATCATTTTCAGTTTTTATTACTTTTTGGTTTTTATTATTTTTTGTTACCAAGAAATGATGGGCCAGTTTCATAAAAGTCACAGTAACAGCGCTATGCCATGCAGAATGTGTGAGACGGTATATAAGAGCCAAGGTGGTGATTAGTGCACCGGTGTTTTTCTGTTTTGGTAATCCTGCAATATAGTTTCTTTACTAGAAAATGTTTTTACTACAAAAAAATTACATTTATATAAAAAAAAAGAATAATAATTTGATTTTAAAATGCAGCTTTTAACTGTAGGAAGCATATTTTATCAAATAAGATTTCATTTCTCAGTAAAACTAAGTATTTCACTTTACACATGTAGAAATTACATTTCAGCTAGTAAATATTTAATTCTTGACTGGAATTTGATCTACACACTTAAAAAGTATTGACTACTAAAAAATTCAGTTTTGATTAGTAAGAAAGGAATTTTTACTTGTAAAAATGTCATTTTCACACATGTAAAGTGAAAATCCACTGTAAATTAAAAAAGATTAAAAGCTATAACTGTATACCGTCAATTCAAACATATAATTAGATTCTCAACATGAAACTAAACTCACTGTCTACACCCGGGAGGGTGAGTGGCCAAATGCTGAATTTTTTTTTTTTACAAATTAATTCAACTTTATATTCTGGATTTTGCAGGAATAGCATTTAGAGATATCTGGTTTGAACATGTGCTTTTGAATTAACAGATTTGTTATGATATTGGTGAGCTTAGCTTATAATTTTTCTAGTTTGTTATTGTGTAGTTGGACCAAAAGTATTTTATAAGTTATAGATGAAATTATGTGCTTTTGGTTAAGTGACATTTCTGTAACACATTAGCATATAATTCTGAACAAAACACTACCTTTGTGCATTGTATATTGATACTGAACTACTGTTAAATCTGCCCAGAAATATTAGGGTATATTTAACTGTATGTTCATCTTAGAGGTCATCTCTTGTTTGGTTTTGTATTCTGTATTGGCCTGTGTCAGTAGGTCAGATTCTGGCCTTTTGAAGGTAATGTTGTTTATGCAGATCTTTGTGTATGATTTATGCAAGGTAAATAAGGCAGGAACAGGATGGACTCAACAGTGAGGATGCTTGGTGTGATGTTGGTCAACCACAGGGTTGGATGGTTATTGTTGGCTACAAAGTGAGTCAGATGTTGGTGTAACTATAGACCAGCACAAGTCCCTTCCCCTTCACACAAAGAGCTATGTATGGTATGTATGGGGGTGTGTTGGTATGTAGGGTGTGTGCGGGAGGATGTATATGTGTAAATAAGTAACCAAGAAGTGGCTAATTTGTGTAGACTTAAAGGAACTGTATCCTACATTGTTTTTGCATTTTAATGTTTACTTTTATCCTTTATATTAAAGCTGCACTATGTAAGATTGTTTGGGTTCAAATTGAAAGTCATGAGGAAAGAAGATGCTAAAATATCGTGTCCATGCGCTGCCTCTAATGCCTCAAATAATCATGATAATAATATTGTGTTTTGCAGGAGTATTTCAGACTACATCATATGTCTTCACATACTAATGTCATGTCAACATTGTACTGATAAAGATATGATGACTATATTAGATAATTCACTTACATCCTCTGAAGTCTTTGACTGAGTTCTCTTCAAATTTATTTTGGTAGGCAACTATTTTAGCAGCACAGTGGCAGTTATTTATGTTGTTATGAGATAACAAAGCTATAATCAATCCAGTGGAGACCTTTTGTAAAGGAATACTCAGTTTAAAACTCACTTGTAAAGCATATCAACCAGTATATTTGAGTGTATTGCCTTGATTTTATTTGATTTGTTGCCACAGCCATAAATGATATCATAAATGAAATCTACAGAGATTTCCTGCTGCATTACTTCTACTCCACCCCAAGCTGCATACTAGCACACAAAATAATATGTACATCATGTTCCAAATTATTATGCAAGTGATATATCAGTAGAATTTCAGTATAATGAGCATTCAGGTTTAAGTTGTTCAAATAAAGTGTTTATTTGTCTTATCTTTTTAGATAACTGGTATCAATCTCAGACAGGTTTGTTACTTAGTTTGCCAGGTGATCTTGATTACAGGTAAACTCAGAGATTGTTCCACATTATTAAGCACGTCTCAGTTCTCATGCAGTGTGGGGAGAAAGAAAGTTCTTTCTGAAGATGAAAAGCGTGAAATAGTACATTGTCTTGCAAAAGGCTTGAAAACGCTAAAATTGAAGAGAGATCATTGAACTATGAAAAGATATGTGAGAAATTCAGAGCAGAGGCGAATACAGTCAGATAAAGGCATATTAAGCAAAGTTTCTGTCAGAACAAATTAATTGTATTCAAGTGGTAGCTATAAAATTGAGCAGCAAACGGGTATTTGAAGCTGTTGGTGTCTCTGCAGTCTCAAGAAAGGCTTCGCACAGCCCACATAGTACATAGCACGTTTTCAACTAATTACCAAGATTATTTTGCGTTTCAGTTAGTAAACCTGGTTGTTATAAGTTTCTTGATGGATACAAATGAGTGTCATAAATTGAATTTAGAGAGTGTTTCAAGAGTAATTTTGAGCACTGTAAGTTAAAAACAATTATTTATTCATTTACTTTTGTTATTTATTTACTTAATTTTTTGACCTCCCGATGTCTGTGCCCATGCGGATCATGTTGAGAAGCTGCTGTCACTAATTACCTGGAAAGTATTTTTCCTTGATCTCTGGTCACAGTGGAATGCTGCGTTGCTACAGTTTCCATTTCAGCAACAGCGTACGTGACCAGCAGAGCCTGTCAGAAGTCATAGCAATTTAAAGTAAAGACAAAGTCACTCTCCTGATTTACCAACTGTGGCTAGATAGTTAACTAGAGTACAGTCACTTCTTTGTTTTCCAGGCAAAGTTAATAAAACAGGATGTATAAGCAGTTATAATGGGAGCTGTGAATATTCCTAACCACTTATCCCAGAGCTTTTGAAACTGCAGCACTTTATAGCAGAAAAATCCTAATTTAAATTAAAGGGCCTTTATCCTTTCACACCAGTCTGTGTCTATGTGTTTGCATGTTTTATGGTGTCTTACCTGCATTCTCCCCCCTCTTGTAAATAACTGCTGTGAATGGCTTGTTCTTCCTGCCGAGCTTTTAAAAGCATCTGGTTGTCATTTTCTTGAATTAGCCCACAACAAGGAGTCCGGCAGTTTGTGAAGAATAATTTGCAGAGGCTGTGATGCCAAAGGCCTGTCGAACAGCCTAATTTATGTTTTGAAATATTGTATAGGGTTTAAAGCTAAGTGAATGAATACGACATAGTACTGCTTAAGGTTGTGGTGTATAGCTTAGCTGCTGTAAGTAGCTTTATCTACACAAATGCAGCAACTCTTAGTGGAGACATGAAGCAGAACAGAGAAAAACTGGGATAGTGTGCGTTTCTATGCAATAAATAAATTTATTAATTAATTAAGTTGGCTTAACAAAGCCAACTCACTGTCTTCCGCTGAATTATTCTGCTCTGTTTTTGTGTGGGTTTTACAGGTTGCAGTTTTCAAGCAAGTACCACAAAATTTAGCTGGATCGAAGAGACTATATCTGAGTAGCACACTTGTGCTTTTGGGACCGATCACATGTACAGACAACAGGTGTTGTGCCAAATTCCGCCTACACCGCAAAATCCAACACCATGTTGTGTATTTGCATGTCGCAGAGTCTCGATTACATTTTCGATATGTGCTGTTTTGTCAAAATATACTTGGTTGTCTGTCAGTATAATTGCTATGCAAGCATAAACACCAAAACATATTCTGGCTGATCTCAACCACATCTAAAGATGAGCTGGTGTCTACAAACCTTTGGACATGTTTGTATGTCCAGTGTATATTTGGAGAGCAGTGGTAATGGACTTTGTTTGATATATCTGTATCTTCCAAGAACTCAGTGAATCCTTGTTAAATTAATTTATCTCCTGAAAGGGTGAAAATTAACTAATGATGACATTTAATATTTAAAGTGTTGTATTTTTTTGTCCACGACAAGTAAATTGTTATGTTTATCATACAATAATAATCTAATTTTCATTTTAATGTAATGTGACTGCAGCGTATTTTTTTATGTTTTTACTGAGCAAAATTCTTAACCTAAGCAGGGTAACAAACTTGAAGTTATGTAATGGTCTGAATTTGTCCTTGGGCCAAGCTTGTGAAACGTCAGCATTAGATATTTATTGTGATAGTGCTTTTCTCACTGTGGGTCTCCCCTCCCCCTGCCACACACAGACTCCACATCAGACCACCATCTGTTGAAAATGACTTGATGTTTCCTCTAGACATCTCATTTGCTTATTTCCGTGAACTGTAGTTTCCTCTGGCTTTTTTGTGCCCCTGCTTCACAACAGCTGTGCAGTTGTGTTTGAGCCATAGACAGCTACTCTCTTCTCGTTGCTCTCAGAGGGATAAAGACGGTCTCTTGATAAACTGCTGAAGAACAGGCGGATATCGAATGGGCTTCTCATCAGTAATCTTCCATTGGGAAAATGTTTCAATAAACTGTTACGATGTAAATGGAGTCCATTCAGAGTGGTTTAATGTGAAATTCTAGAGAACCTTGCAGAGAATTGCTCATAGTGGTGGTGATGGGAACCAGATTTCTGAAGAGTTTAATGCCTCTAAAAGTTTTCTTACAGAACGTTGTTACATGACATGGTTATGAATGTGTAGCCTTGTGTTTGAGACATTGTTCAGTAGTATTTTTGAGAAGGTATTGGACTAAAACACGTTTTTTAAAATACATTTGTAGTGAAGTGCGCTGCAAGGCAAAACAGCACTACTTAAAAAAAACAAAAGACGTGTGTAGGTCTAGTAAATAAAATGGCTATATTTCTGTTGTAGACATCACAATCCCTGGTTCTTAACACCACCACTGTAAAGAAATCTTCTCTAGTTTCTCTAGGATGGAGCATTTTAAAACTCTCAATCACTTTCCTTTCACCTTCATCCACTGAATAAAGCAGAAAAATGAGTGATATTCCTCTTTAACAGCATAACACGAATGGAATGGAATAGGGTGGGCGATATGACAAAAAATATCATGATACTTTAAGGCATTTTCTCAATGCACAGTACATATCATTATATTTCGTGTTTCTGAGGTTTGGTCAGTTGGAACAGCGAAATAGGACCCACTAGTTTACAACATACTATCAAGAACTGAGTACAATTTTTATTCACAATTTCATATACCGCACTTAAATCAAATTAACCAGGCCTAGTTAGTCTTTATAATGAAACTTGCAGTTCATCTGTGGTCTTCATTGCCTTATATTAAGTTTATTGTTAAGTAATGATGATGACTAATAAACTGACAACAACTAGACAATTTTAGTTGTTCTAGTCAGTTTATTACACACGCCTGTCTTTTGCTCTGAGGAATTGTAACATCTATTCACATGCTCTTGTGAATTTACCACTGTTTTACCAGCATTACATATAAAAACTCTGAGCTGCTAAGTTTTTGTACAAATGCGCACACCAACACTGTTCCATTTTATCTCTTGCAGGTTGCCATATAACCAGTACTTTGGTGGAGTGTCCTCCATGAGCAAAGAGCAGTTTCTGAAAATTAATGGCTTTCCAAACAACTACTGGGGCTGGGGTGGAGAGGATGATGACATCTACAACAGGTCAGTGAACTCCCTGGGTAAACACACATGACGCCAACAAAGGGCGTTCAGACCCAGCAAATAAAAATCTGGGATTTGTGAAAAATTCTCAGTCTTCTGTTCTGACTTAAATTGAGCTTTTATCACATCATTATATTAAAAAAAAAAGACATGGCAAAGAAAAAAATGATCTTTTCACTATCTCATGCGAAGTCCACGTTTTTGCTGTTTTCCATTTTTCATGGGTTTTTAGACTGATGATCGTCATTGTAAGCCCAGTTTCTTATTGTAGTGGTTTCCTCTGGAACTTGACAGTAAGCTTTAACAACTCATAAATTGATAGAAGACCTAGTTTATTTACAGATACGACTGGCCAGTGGTGAGAAACTGCTGCATGTCAGCCTCACACTGCTCTGCTGGCTAAACATTTGCACAAAGCTTTAGGTAGTTCTCTCACTATCGATAGGTAAGCAAACAGGCCTTGGTCTAAACCAAGCATGTCAAACTGCGGGCCTTTCCAGATTAGCGTTAACCGTCAACCGTCATCTAACGCTGGTGGACTTTTTTTTAAATAATCAAAGCCTTTGTCATTGACCCATGTATCAACACTGATATATACATGGAAAAATATTGGATATCGGCATTGGCCTGCAGTTTCCGTATTGGTGCACTTCTACCAAACATTGAATCAGTTGTTTCAAAGAGCTAAATGAACTAGATTACTTAAGCATGACATGAACTGAAAACGTAGACACGATGATTAAAGAGTAATAATAGAGAGTGGAGCTAAAGAATATTGTGGTTTACAGATCTATTTTAAAGGCCTTTACACAATTTATTTTTGCAGTTTATTTGGACGACTGGAATTAATTTGAGCATGTGTATAGCTGATTATATCTTGCACATTAAATGGAAAAAAAAAACTTATTTTATTCGCCACCCCCCTGTGATTTTTGCAATTCTTCTTAGGCGACATGAACTCTCTGACTTGCAGCTCTTGTCTCGTCTGCTGTTGCCATGGCTAAAACCAAGCTGACAGTTCAGCTGTGTCCTAGCAACTGCAACTTTTTTCTGTGTAGTGAGGAGAATTGCCAATCAGTAATGTCTTAAGGTTAATCAAATGCTACAGGGTGCTCCCGAGTGATTCCAGAACGAATGGGTTTGCAAATACTTACTAATTTTTAAATAGAAAATAACATAACAGCACAAACTCCATTTATAGGACATACTAATTGTGCCTCAGGTACATTTGCGACGTCAGTGAGAACGAAACGCTTCACTCAGCCAATGTGCTTATCAGCTCGCCAACTATTCGGCACATAGTAGCAGTAATGCTAGTGTCCTGTGACAGCTGAAAAACTGGTTTGCTGTAGGAAATCGGATGATGTTAAGTTTTCTTTCATTTTTTAATTGAATACATCTTTCTGCTTTTCAAAATTAAAGGAAGCACAACCTGCTCAAATGGTTAGAAACAAGTTTAATTTCTCGTTGTGTAACAACCCTAATTCCTACTAACACATTGGGGCTTTATCTTAGAACACGTAATCTTTTGCATAACTTTATACAGGGATATATTTGACCCCTTTTCTTATACTCAAAAGTGCATAAGCATTATTTAGAGAGCACTGCCAGCAGTAAGGCAGTGTTTATTTTCACAGTATTCTTGTTGCTGTTGGCAGATTACTTGATGTCGTCCAGCAGCTGGTCCTTTTCGCCAGTGCAGGTCTGTTACAAAATTAACTGAGATTTATCAGGAAACTTATTTACTCCAAAAAACGTTTTTACGCTGGCAAAAAAACAAGTGTCCAAGATGGACTTTAAAAAGCGCTTTCAGCTCCTTGGAAGTACCGTCTAATTGCTTCTCAGCATAGCTTATCTTTATTAGGAGTGCATCATTATTAATCAGCAGCATATGTAAACACAGAGCGGAAGAGTGTGTACTGAAACGAAGTTGTTCTTGTTTTCTCAGGCTGAGCTCCAAAGGGATGTCCATATCAAGACCCAGTGCCGTGGTTGGGAAATGCAGGATGATACGTCATGAACGGGACAAACAGAACGAACCTAATCCTCAAAGGTGCGGCTATTGATATTTACATAACATGCCACGCCGACCACTCCGTCCAACACATATCAGTGTGCTTCTTTATCTTCCACTTTCTACTTTTTCACTTGCCGTGACTTGCAACAATCTCAGTGTTGCTGCTTTGCAAAGAAGGCATTGAGATGTGATAATTTTTCTTTAAACCTATGTGATTTCAAAGAACCAGCACTGATGTAAATGTCAAACCTAAACCTAAACCTATATAAGCTGGGTAAACATGAAACAGAGCTTAGGTTTACTCAACGTGGGTGGAGGTTACATACATTTGAAGTACCTTGCATACCTTTGACCTCTAAAGTCCTTAAAAACTATGGTGGGGAAAAAATGTGAAAACCCTTTTCTGCTTCTCATGATCCAAATAATCATGTTAGTGTCTCTTTTCAGGATAACGATGTCTCTGACACTTTCAAAAATAAAAGCAATAATCAAAAATTTGCTAAACAAACATTAGGATGGTCTCAAGTCTCATGAAACTTGCTTTAGAAAGTTGAGACTGTTGTAGCTGTTGCGAGTTGCAGGTGAGTTCCAAGAGAAGTTTGAGTGAAATTTAGTTTAATATAACTAAACTTGTGTAAAAGTTTCAGAAAATGGGTGTACATATCACTGGAATGAATTGAGGCGGTTGTTATGCATTAAGGGCAATTCCTTACCAGTTTTTAGCAGATAGTACAAACTGCAGTTATAGCACACACTAAGTGACACGGAAAGTGCTAAAAAACATCAAACACAAGCTCAATTTGCACTCTTCCTTTGTAGGTTTAATGAAATGAAAGGTTCATCTTCATTTATAAAGTCTAACTGTACAGCTAGAATGTACAAGATAAAATACAATGCGACTGTTAACATTAGCTGAGGTGAAAACGGAGAGAACAGTGACACCACTTCTGCACATTCTTATGCAAAGTTACTGTTTATTTGCTGGATTAAACATACTGGGAGAAAATTTAAATTGAAGTAGTAAATAGTACATGTCAACGTGAGCCTGAATACCCCACCCGTATTCAGGCTCTTCAACGTAAAAGTCCTGGTAAAAGCAAAACTAAGGCAGCCAAAATTTTCTTTTCCCACTGAACTTCTTACACCACAACGTGGCTACACCACAATCGGTGAAGCGGTAGCTGCGTGTAAAGGTTATAACACCAACAACCTCATGAAATACAAATACAACATTCTGAAGCAGTGCAGTGTTTTTACTTTGCTCAGTGCAGCCTCCTGGTCTTAACGCATAATTATAAGTAGTTCCCTGCATAAAACGCTGGGTAGGATATTTTGATGGCTTAAATCACCTTATTGAAAATGCTACAAGCATAAAAAAATATGAGGCTGAGGTTGGGTTCCTATCCGCCAGCTCCTTGTTCGAATTTTCCTGTTTAACCTTAAATGGTGCAGCGGTTACATGCTGGTGCCCCAGCTGTTATAATAGAAACTAAGCAGTATCAGTATTGGTATCAGTGTTGCTAAATCTTAATGACACCCATCTTAGTGTTTGGATAGCTGATTGTTTCAATGTCTCTTTGAAGCGTAACCTTTCGTTGATTTAAGTAAAAATAATTTCCACAGATCCTCCACAGCGCATGTGTCCTCACGGGCCAAAACACTGCAGTCTTCGGCACACAGCCTCTTTAAACACACCTGATTCAGCTCATTGGCTAGTTGGCAAGGCCTTCATGAACTGAATTCAGAGCGTTAGGTGAAGGTAAACGCTGATCTCCGCAGCACTTTAGGCTGGAAGGTCCCCAGTTTGACATGCTTGCTCTACAGAGAACACACTTCTGTATATTTTAATACACAATTATTGTTTATTTGTTGAATTTAGCATAATAGTAAAAAAAAAAAACATGTGGTCTGTGCAGACATTATGGCACATTTTGTATTATAATAATAACACAAATAAATTGTGAACTAAAATTTGCAGGAAAATGCCATATTTAACTTTGTTCCCTGTGGAGAATGTGCTAACTTTTTTTTAGTTAGAAAATGAACAAAACATGCAATTTAACCCAGGTGTAATAGGCAAAATTTACATTTCCATAGCCTACATCGTCAACCTTTTTCCATTTATAACATTTTTTGTAACAACCCTTTAGAAATGTAGGCACTGTTTGTTGTTTACTGTCACAGTAACAACTGAGTTAGTATGGCGATAAATTGTTGCTGTCCCAAAAAAGAAAAAATCTCCAAAATAGTCATTTTTATGTTACAAGGCAAAAGTGTCCTGAACTTTCAATGTGATAACAGGAAGGAGTTTTTATTTCAACTAATTTTGGAGCATTTCTGTTGGTCAATTGATCCTGATTTCTCACTCACTGTAAAGGGCAACTACTGTATTTAAACATTTAAAAACAAAAATAAAAATATATTTATTTGTATATTTTGGACAGTGACAAAATATTGAATTTGAAATTTAATGAAACAAAGCATTGTCCTAGGTATTTTCAAGCCCATGCTTCCATGTCGGTGTTAACTCTGCCATTTTTCATGTCTCAGGTTTGACCGAATAGCTCACACGAGAGAGACCATGCACAAAGATGGCATCAACTCCTTACAATACAAAGTGGTCAACGTGGAGAGGGACCAGCTGTTCACCAAAATTACAGTGGATGTGGGCAAACCTCCAAACTGACACCTACAATTATGAACATCTACTGGATACAGTAACCAAATGTGCCTTGACTTTTGAGAATTGCATTGGAGTTTTATATCATAAACTCTGTCTTTTTTGAAGAGAATTCTATATTTTTAAAAGACCTTTCACAAATTTCTTGCCATCTTTGCACAACTGCGAGGGGGAGGAGGACGTGTGAATCTTTTACAGTGGAGGGTTGCGAGTATGCCGCATGCAGAGGGAATCGTTTTTCCACACAAACTGACATGTCTGCTTTTTCTTGTGGACATGCTCTTTAGCAACCCCCCACCAACTGTTCGCCTGAGAGACTGCTGCTAAGGAAAGAGCCAGCTGTCTGCCGTGATCGATGTAAATTGCTGATTTGGGTGCTCCTGCCCTTTGCGGGCATGTGAAAAATTGAAGCTTACAGTGTGTGTGTGTCCATTTTGGAGTTCACTTTGATTCGAGTTGATGTGTGGTTCAGAGAGAGGGGAGGGTGGTGGACTCTTTACGTTTGCTAACATGTGTCAGCACTTCTTCATTCCAAGTTAAGCAATGCAAAGAATTCGGGCCAGTGCCAGCCTAGGTCTCAGTACCGTGCCTTTCATTTTTATGCTCGGAACCAAAAATAACCCCCTTACAAAAAAGCGATTTTTCTCATTTTAATTTTAACTATCTGAATGTAAATCCCAGGCTGTGTTCCAAATACAAAGGGATTGTAAAAGTATTTCCTGCATATGCAATAGACAACCAAAGTGGAGTTTTATGCACCTGTTCCCCAGATACAGGCTAAGTCTTGTCTTTGGCTATATAGATGTTACAGGAATCATTTTCCTGTGTTACCTCTAACATACAGTCATTTACCACTGGCAACAACAGTTTATAGTAATAGAACAGAAACACTTAAGCTACTGTTTAAAAGTTTAGAATCACTCGCCTAATTACTAAGTTTTATTATTTGATTCAGGCTGAATCTTCTTCCGTCTGCTGTCAAAATTCACAGATGACATTGCTGTGGGGATACTTGAAGATAACAAAAAGCATGCTAAAAATATTGAATATCTGGTAGATTTGACCCCATGGTAGTTTGTTCCTCACTGTTCCTTAGATTATAATATTATAAACTCTTTACCAACAAATATTTTTTGGAAGTTTTATTCAATATTTAAAAAATTTCACTTCTCACTTCTTCAACTCTGCGAAGAAGTGAAAAGAAAATGATAATGATTTATTTACATTGTATTTTTGCCAATTCATGATATTTGATCTCCACTTTTCAAATATGATGATCTCTGCATATTAATTCTGTCAGATCTTATTTCACAATGATCTGTACATTTTTTTCTCAACATTCCTTTGCCTAGTCCATCAACTCTTGTTGGACTAAGCATTTTCAGTCTAATAATTGAAACAAATATATTTGACAAAATATAGTATTTTATCTCAGTAAAGCACCGTGGCAGCCATTAAGGTTTTTCTTTTTACTTGCAACACACTTTTTGTTTTGGTTTGCTTTTTTAGTGTTTGAGGTAAAAGAGATTCTGCAGTTAAAAGCAATGCAAACTGGTTGATAAAAGCACATATATATATATATATATATATATGTGTATATATATATATATATATATATATATGTGTGTGTGTGTGTATATATATATATAAATATATAGTTAATGAGAAATAGATATCTATAGTTAATGAGAAATAGATATGTGAACACATTTTGGTAATTCTAAATGGGGTAAAAAAAGTCAGAAAAAGGTAGAAGTAGAAAGTTGAATAATTTAATGATTTGCTCCAGATCCCCTACTAAATTATATGGAAATTGTTTAGCTGTGTTATGATTGTAACACTCAAATACATGAAGCATATCCACATTGGCCCACAGTTCTCATAGTCTACGTAATTTACACATGAAAATGTGATTAAAAAATATTTTTGGGCGTGAAGTTTTTCATAAAAAATTTAATTCTTTGATTCTTTTTTTTTTTTTTGATAGAAATTTTTGATGTCAGAAATATTTTTTTTACTGGTGAAAATTATATTTTGGTATCAAATTGTAAAAATTCAATTCATAATAAAATTATAAGAAAATGTAATTTTTCATTTGTGAAAATATGAAAAAATATTTTTTTTACCAATATAAAAAAAAAAGAGTAAAAGCTAAAATGACTTGCCATAGTTGTCTATTCTGAAGTACAGGGTGGTTTTTGTTGGTGGTAACTGACTGTATGCTGTAGATGTGGCAGGTAGAGTTCAGGTTGAGGAGAATAAAAAGCTTCCTTTCATATAAAATCTGTGCATTTATTCCTGGATTAGGCTTCTTTTGTGTCTCCCGAACAGCCAGGCTTTAAAAACAACGTTCCCTTTTTGTACTTTGTCCTGTACTCGCTCGATATTGTGGCCTGTTCATTTTGCACAGTGACCGCTGACCTGTAAGAAAGCACATATATGCAGTAAGCTGTTGTGGTGTCTGGGTGGGTGGAAGAGGGTGTGTGTGTGTGTGTGTGTATGTGTGTGTGTGTGTATTAGTGGAAGGGTGAGGGGGGCTGGGGATCAAAGCCATTAAGATTTTGACTGGACTGAGTTAATCAGCAGCGTAAATATTGTTCTCGTATGCGTCTTCAAACGGCCTTCTAAACTTGAAGTACCTTCTCAACCTCCTTCTGACCAAATTCCTTTCCTCATATATACTGAGCAAGGAAAATTCAGCCTCAGCAAGATGAATGTACAGTTGGAAGCCTGGGGAGTGACTTTTCCAGCTGTTGGCTGAAGTCTTTTCAAGACGGAGGTTGCCAGTCATTGTGTCTGTGTGTCAGAATGTTGGTCTTTTCCTTTCTTTTTTCTTTAAATGCCAAGACGGACAATATCGCTTCTGACTTTGATTGGCTTGTAAAACGTCAGTGCTGTCTACCTTGCCTTTTAATCTGACACAAATCTGTCACAAAGTGTCTGTTTTTTGTGTTTTTAGATTATGTATTACCAGGTTGTAGATCTGTTTGGACAATGGCCTTTGATCAGAGCCAGCGCATAACTACACTTCAGGGTGTTGTCGTTTTCCTTCTATTACAAAGATAACTGCCTTATCTGTTCTCTATAAATCGTTTATTTTCTTCAGTTGTGTTCACTGTGCTTTTTGTTTTCTCCACACTCATACATGCTATTTGTTTATTCACTGTCTTACTTGATTTCTGAAGCCTTTCTATTGTAATGCTGAAGATGAAACCAATCATGATCTTAAATAATTAAATTACTATTTGATTTAATTGATCTCTGGCCAGTTTTGTTAGGACGTCCCCCTCCCCTTTGGCCTTCTGACAAATTCTGAAAAGGGGAAACATATTTTCAGATTCTTTTTTATTTTTTTGGCAAATAATGATTCTGGTGGATGTAGCCTAGCCAGCGTATTTGTTAGTGATTTGGTAATGGCATTCTGACTCTCTTCTGTGAGTCAGATCAACTGGCTCAGCTCTCCAATAAGAACAGGCTCTTATGGCTCTCTTCATTCAGTAGAATGAACATTTGTTCCCAGAACTGGTGAAGTTAGTGATGTCATTCAATTAATTTTCCATAACACCTCTCATGTGTTGGCTGTACTTCAGCTTGGCTAGCTCTCACTGTGTGTTTGCTTAATGCTTCAAAACATTACAGCCACCAAATAGGTGAAAAGAACAGTATAGGAGTAAATGCTGTGGCTTCTATACACAGTTGGGTAATTGAAAAACATAAAATTATGATGAATTAAGTTACATTTATGGTCTAAAAACAGCCATTAGGGTGAACCAGAAGAAATATCTGTATGCTGTCAGAATTTCGCAGATTACCTTGCTATGGGAACAGGAGAAAGTGTTATATTTTACCCCACATTAGTTTGTCCATGAAAACAGCCAAGAACAAAACCAGAGATTAACTAACAAGCAGCAGTTTTGGGAATAATGTAGGGGCGGATCCAGGATGGGGGGTCTTTTGATTTGCAGCTACAGCATCATAGCAAGATCAACCCATTTGTTCTGTCCTACCTTACAAAACAAACACAGCTATTTAATTCAGATTGGCTCACGTTGTTCATCTTTAAGAGCCAGCTCAACATCACGAATGACACATCACTAATATTTGTGAAGAACAACAAAGTGTGCACTGTTGCAGTTAGTGTAGTGTTTTTGCTTGACACAACCTCGTCTTGCGCAAGTGAAAGGTTCAAAGTGAATTTGTGACGTGCAGCTGCTCAGGCTGAAAATTGTAAACATGAGGCCTTCTATATGAGTCACTGCTCTTTAGTTCCAGTTTATGGCTCCTTTTTTTTTTTTTCTTTTTTAATAGAATGCACCAACAGGCTTTGTTCTTATCTGTTGTCCGCATCAGGATCACATTGTAGATGACTAGAAATCATGAGCCATTTACATGATCTATTTAAAAACCAGTTGACATGACAGTGATTGGCAGTAATAAATACTCCCAGAGCGAAAAAAATTAGGCCAAAATGGAAAAACATTAAGCTTTTAATGATCTTAACGACAAATGGATGAAGTAACTTAGTATAAGAGAGATTTTCCCTTTGATTTCTTTAAATGTTGAAGTCTTGTTGGTAAACTTGCAGACAGCCCTTAATAGAAAGAGGAGTCGATTGTGTTCCACTCAGCTTCTGATGGCTTCGAACAGTTGAAAAACATTGCCAAGCTAGTTTGTGTTTAAAGTGAGACCAAATATTCTCTATAGGGTTTAAATTTGGACTGTAAATAGGCCAAAACCATTGGTGAAAACTTGGAACGCATTGCTACCGATACTGGTGACTCTGTGGGTGTTGTATTTTATGTTAATTGGTAATGTGAGTGAAACCACTAATGATCCTAAAGAACTAAACACTGTTGTTGGTAGCATTGCTAGACGCTGCTTTCTACCTATGTTAGCCACCGGTTACGGAAACGGTCCACCTTAACTGTAGGAATAAAAATATAATATTAATATGTTAGCGTAGTGTTATGTTATCTAATCACAGCCAGTAATTATACTCGATAGGCATGACGTACAATAAGGCACACGAGAAATTTCTCCACCGTGTATGCAAATATGACCAGACCGACTTATAATGGGAGCTTGTGTGACCAAATAACATTTTGCATAGAGAATTACATTCATAAATTAGAAAAAGAACAGTTAATTAGCGGAAACCAACAAAACCGCTAAGTATGCTGGTAAGCTTTTTGGGCAAGGACTCTTCAGTCTGTGGGACTTATCCAAATTAATTAATCTTAACTAGATTTACTTCAGTAACTAAAGGTTATGTAAATATTATTTGATCTGTTATTAGTAATTTTAATAAACAAGTTAAGCAAAAAAAGAGAGCACAATTATTATGTTCTACAGAGCACCTGTCATAAGCTGAAAGCCTGAGATGTTGAGTATTACAACCCTGTTTCCAAAAAAGATGGGATGCTGTGCAAAACTTAAATAAAAACAGGGTGAAATTATATCAAATGTTGAAACTGAGAAATTTCATTTTTTGAAGGATATATGTTTGTTTTGAATTTAATGCCAGCAGCACACAAAAAAGTTGGGCATGTTTACTACTGTGTTGCATCACTTTCTTATAAAAACACCCTGTAAGCATTTGGGAACTGAGGAGACTAATTGCTGTAGTTTTGAAAGTGAAATGTTTCCCCATTCCTGCTTGACACAGGGTTTCAGCTGTTCAACAGTTTGGGGTCCCCTTTATCATATTTTTCATTTAATATTGTGCCAAATGTTTCCAACAGGTGAAAGGTCTGGACTGCAGGCCAGTTTTTTTTTTACTATGGAGCCATGCTGTTGTAATACATGCAGAATGTGGTTTGGCATTGTCTTGCTGAAATATGCAAGGCCTTCCCTGAAAAAGACGTAGTCTGGATGGCAGCATATTGTTCCAAAACCTGTAAATATCATTCAGCATTAATGGTGCCTTCACAGATGTGCAAGTGACCCATGCTATGTGCACTAATGCATTCCCATATCATCACGGATGCTGGCTTTTGAACCGTACTCTGATAACAAACCGGATGGTCCCTCTCCTCTTTAGCCCAGAGGACACGGCATCCGTGATTTCTAAAAAGATTTTCAAATTTTGATTCGTCAGACCACAGAACACTTTTCCACTTGGCCATATTAAATGAGCTTGTGCCCAGAGAAGGCGGCGGCGTTTCTGGATCCTGTTTATGTAGTTTCTTCTTTGCGTTTTAGAGTTTTAACTTGCATTTGTGGACGCAGCGACGAACTGTGTTCACAGAAAGTGGTTTTCTGAAGTGTTCCTGAGCCCATGCAGTGATTTCCATGACATCATCAAGTATGTTTTTAAAGCAGTGCTGCTTGAGGGCTTGAAGATCACGGCAAACCAAATATTGATTTTTTGCTTGTCTCTTGCATACATATATTTCTCCAGATTCTGTGAATATTTTTGATGATATTATAGATGATGAGTTGTGAGATGTTCCACCAGGTGTTTTTTCAGCTTTGCACAACTTTAACAGTCTTTCATTGTCTCTGTCTCAACGTTTCTTTGAAATTTGCTGCCGGCAAGTTCAAAATGGGCATGTATTTTTCATTTTCAACATTTGATATTTTGTCTTCATACTATTTTCAATGAAATGTAGGGTTTGAATGATTCACTTCACTGCATTCTGTTTTTATTCACATTTTGCACAGCGTCCCAAACAGGATTGTAGCTACAGTGGTATAATTACGTCTCTAGAATGCCTATTTGATGGCTTCTTCTCTGTTTTGAATTCAGCATTCAGAGCTGCCGAAAGGAGGGAAGTGGTCTATTTTTCTGAGCAGGGCGGGCTTAAACATGCACGGCTGAACCCACCGGTTGTTTGGGTTGCCAGAGAGTCATCACTGTGAATAATTTTTTGTTCTGACATGCCCACACAGCTCTGCAAATGTATTTAGTGAGACCATAAGCTACAGATCAGCCAAAATCAAGTAGGGTATTTCAACTACTCTTAACCAGCCCAGCCTGACGAGCCCTAAAACACTGCGTTATGACATCACATTCACAAGCCCTACAGTAGATAAATGCTCCAAAAATTCCAAGCTGCTGCCATGTTAATTGATAAAGTCTACACGGCTAACAAGAACAAAAGGAAAGGCATTATGTCACAGTTCTCCAAGCTTATAGCCAGACAAAGCTTTCGTTCACACACATTATGTGCCGCTTTTTTTGAAACATTTTGCATTGCAAAGTTTGTCTGGCCAGTCATTTAGTTTACTGACACTAACCTGATTAGGTTGTTGTGTTCTATTTGAATTATCCTTCTGCTGCGTGGGGCCACTTCTGTAACATTAGCTGTGACCCACAGCTCCGGGTGGTGAGTCGACGAATTGAAACAGGGCCCTTATCTCTTTCAATGAGAAACCTGAAACTAAACCATCATTTCAGAAGCATATTTAAAGTCACGGTTATAATCTCACCAAAATTATTAAAATAGTTCATAGCGTTTAGCTCAAATAATGTACGGAAAACTTGTTCTGGCTACTAAGCATGCATGTATTTCCGCGAGGGGGCAAATTATTCAGCGACTGCATGAAATAAATGTAAATTTTTATTTATTTACTTATTTTTTGTAAAAGCTCCCCTCAAATTAACAGGGCATGTGTTTTATGATCATACACATATTGCTATATGCTTACAATTTACTGCTGAAAGCCAAAAATCTTAGACGCTCTTATCATTTTTACAGATCAGATCACTGAAGAAACGCCATCTGTTTATAGATTATAGCTCAGATTTGTGGAAAAATGGGTTGACTTTCAGTAGAAAAAAAAAAAGTTCAGCTTCTTTTATTATAAAGTTTTAAAATTACATTACCCATCTATTTGACTGGAAAGAAGACAGTTACAGCTCTCATATGACCCCCACCTTTTGAATGTAGCTTATGAAATATGAAAGTTATGAAGAATATGAAGAAGTGCGTTTTGGAATCACTGGTGGTTCCAAGGAGTTGAAAAGGTTAATTATTTATTCATTTTTAATAAATATAGATCATAACCATGTTGACTGCATTCATTCTGCTGTTTCTTTGCTCAGAAGAGTTCTGATCATGAGATATCTAAATATGTAAATCTAAATGGCATCCAAAAGGCAGTAGATGGCAGTAGATTGGTAGAGTCCACTTTTAATAGTGTCTAGGTCCACCCACGGCTTGTCTTGGGCGATGCTTGCACATGCACATTTCAACTATTAGAATCAGTCAGTCAGTCAGTGACTCAGTTAGAGACAGGGATTCTTGTTGTC